AGGAGAACCACTCTGAAGACGCAGACGTAAATTAGAAGATAATACTAAAAAGGATAAGCCATGTTTTAAGACAGGAAAAAGCAACATGTTTACGTAGTTTTATAGATCTGGATTCTAATATTCAGATTTTTATTTAATGGTGTCATTTGTCTCCTTCCTTATTGAAAGAAGCAATTTGGCTTCAATAATTTCGATTCAAGTAGTGGACGTCAAGCACTGGTATAAAGTGCATGAACAGGATTAAATACACGGATTGTTGAGCCATATGTCGCCAGTAAGAATCACACGTGTGTATTGTAATTATTAGCATTTGTCTGGATCAGCATGTTTACCTATGGGGAATTTAATAATTTGCCACAAACTTAATTGCAGCGTGCAGTCATTGCATACGCTCCACGGACCTGTAATACACAGCCTCACTGATTCATATGTAATTACGAAGTACACTCTCATCACACGCAAAATGCGTTCATCTCTGTTCACCTCAACAGAATAGCGCAAATTGTTTTCTCGTTTTGTAAAAAAAAAATCTGCAAAAATTCAGGATAAAGCAAAAAGTCCTATAATGTACTTTACGATAGTCTACATTCGGAACTGTTACGTTCACAATCAAGCTAATAATTTAAAGTAGATTTCTAATGTAACATGTTATTAAATGAAATATCATTGCTGGTAATGAAACGATTATACATTATGAAGATTTCCGTCTTCTGGGTTGTTGCGCTGTGTAGTCTGACAGTAGACAGAAATCTTCATACTCATCGCCCTGATGATGGAGGCAGTATGACCTCTGAAACGTTGGTTAACATCAACCAGACTACACAGCGCAATAACCCAGAAGACAGAAATCTTCATACTCTGATGATGGAGGCAGTATGACCTCTGAAACGTTGGTTAACATCGACCAGACTACACAGCGCAACAATCCAGAAGACAGAAATCTTCATACTTATCGCCCTGATGATGGAGGCAGTATGACCTCTGAAACGTTGGTTAACATCAACCAGACTACACAGCGCAACAACCCAGAAGACAGAAATCTTCATACTCATCGCCCTGATGACGGAGGCAGTATGACCTCTGAAACGTTGGTTAACATCAACCAGACTACACAGCGCAACAACCCAGAAGACGGAAATCTTCATACTCACCGCTGTGAGAACCTCAAGTCTTACGATTATACATTAATTTCCATCTTAAAAACTTATTCATTGGACATAAACCGATGTATTATATGCATCATTATCAATCTTTGCCCATTCTAAGTTCCAAAATTTGCTTTAATATTTCTTCTATACGCCTTCACACACAAATTACAGTTACATATATGGCAAATCTGCGAGTACTTGACAGCTTGAATAAGTTTGATTTTATTTATAAAACTACTTTTAACAGATGATTAATGAATGATCAAGCATTGTCTCTGTGAACACTCTTCAGTTGTCACGTTAGCAGATGTTCGAATATACAAATGTTCGTGAATTAGCCACACGGCGCCCCTTAAATATTATAGAGGCCGTAGAAAATCACTTCCAAATTTGATCAAAGCTATTCTGAAATAACCTGATTAAGATATATAAAATCTTATAGAAATATTCCAGTGCCAAATCTGATTACTTCGGACGATCAGAGATCTTACTCAGAATTTTCTTAATTCCGATGGCTACCACGCTATGAAACGCATTAATTTCAATCCCTGCAACATCTTTGCTTTCTGGATTAGTGGGATTTTGGACTTTGCCAACAGTCTGGTGCTTTAAAAAAACATTTCTGGATTAGTGGGATTTTGGACTTTGTCCACGGTCTGGTGCTTTAAAAAACACGCAGCATTTAGATAACCGGGTCTGTCTTTGTCCTCGGGTTTAAGGAAAGGGGGCACTTACTCTGTTGGGTCCGTCAAAAATAGACGACTGAGGTTCTCAAAGGAATGATATTATGAGAGAAGCGAAGTTCCACGCGTTCTTAAACTCGACACCAGACGATGATGACAAATTAGTTTACATCGGACTATTTTCGGGGAAGGAACTATGACTGGGTGGACATCAGAGTCGGTCTGGACAAATTGGAGAAAACAAAAATCTTGGCTCTGATGGTACTTGTCCAGTACGGAGGACGCAGAAACTTATTGACTGATCTATCCACACTAGGAATGTTAGAAGACTCGACTTGAAATAAAGAGGAAAGTGAACTGTGGTACGATGTGGGCAAACTGTTCAACAGCACGCCTACTTAAGATACAGTGGTTTTATATTCTACGAGTCCCTATGCTCACCGAACTGTAATTGATAAGTTGTTGGTATTTCTCTTTTCAAGTTATCCATTCAAAAGCTTGAGTGCAACTTTGTTTTCCAGACCCTTCAGCGAGGCGTTCAACGTTTTTCAAACCTGAAAGTTTGTCGGGATACAATTCATTAAATTTGCCTGCTGCTTCCAGAAGCACAAATAAATTATACATCACGGAATATTTAATCGCGCACTGTTAAGTCAGAACTTCTATAAACGGTGTGTGCATCACCCCTGCTCAGTAATTCCTTCACCACCCACATTTTGTTATTCCACCTCAACCCTACTTCTACCCTTTCATAAGCAGCAGTTCTCTTTCCCACCCTTCCCCTACTACTCACTTTACCATGCCACGTTCGTATTTGAGCCACGTATTTGTTAAACTATTAAAAAATATACACAGCTCCTCCCGCTTTTCCAATTCCAGCAAAATACCCTGCCGCCCTCCCCCAAACCCCTCTCTGCTTTCATTTCAATGGCGATGCGCTGGTCCTGAGCATTACAACCATTTGATGCAGGGGCGGAAAACAGGTATCGACAACGTGACGTCACTGCCGTGAGAATACTTCAATCTGGCACAGCTTTCAATGCATTTACTCACTGAATATTATCCGTTTTAAAACCCTTTAACTGTGGGGGAATTACTGGAGTGGCCAGTGGGTATTAGAATGGCGAGGTTGGGTAGCCTGTATTCATTTATATGTTGGCTGAATTAGGATTACGCTGGGATTTTAATACATTTTGGTAACTCTATAATTTCGTCACACCTCTCAGGTTATCGTGGACATATAAAAAGTTGCTGCTATGTTAAAATTTCCAAAAATTTGTTTCTCAGTTTACGTAATGAAATTCTCAGGACTTCACGATGCGTTTGCAAAGATGTGAAAGGAAACAGCAAATACGTAGAGGAACTGAGGAAAATCACACAAAAAATTCAAACAGGATAACCGATCCACTGGCTCAGAATCAACCTCGGGAAGACCCACGACCTGCTATGTGTCAAATCTCATAACTTCATCCCTGGAATTACGACCCTAACATTTTACAAACAAAACATAAATAATAGGCTTACAAACACCATTCACGTAAACTGTAGTTGGAGTGAAATATTCAGTTTCTAACTCCAACCTTGCTTTTCTTTGCCGATCGCTTATAACAGAACTCGCTTGCGATTTGATATTACATAACACCTGAAAATCGACAAAGGACAGGTAATACCCCATGGAACCGCTTGAACGCAACTGAAGAATTCGATCGCCCCACAAACATGTCACTTACACGCAGCGACAGTATAGATTTTGCCTTCTTTAATGTATGAGCAGACAAGTACAACTCGAGGGCCGAACCGAACACGAGCTGTTACGTAAATCACTGAGTGTCGTTACGACATAAGATTAGCCAGAAATTACAGTCTCAGAACGTCAGTACATCGAAATATTTAAACACACAAGAAACGTGTAATCAGAATATCCAGTACAAAGTCAAAATTGCTCAAATATTTGACTATACCAATTTCAGCTCAGTTTGGTTTATTTAGAGCTAGAGTAAGTACGGTTTATTCATTCATTCATAAGCCATTTCGTTTATCTGTTTATTTATTCCTGCCGAAAATCAAACCTCAGCAAATCTTCCCGCAGCCAGTAACCTCACTGGGTTATCCAGGCTCATGACGTAATTAAATTGTGGCAGTCAGATTAGTAGATCAATCACAAATAAATATAAACAGTGTTGGATGAACATAACTGTCTTTTGGTTTGTTGTGCCGTGGAGTCTGGAAAAGGTTTACCGACGTTTCATAGGTGCTTGCTGCCTCCATCATCAGAGCAAGTACAGAAGAATACTATTAAAATATTTCTTAAATCTTTAAACACATTGTTTCTATATGTGCCATCTGCTTTAACGTTCAGTTATTCTGCATTTTCCTTACACAATCTATTTGTGGCTTTCGTATCATTCTCGGAATATACAGAAATTACTTCAAATTACAATTTTGTGTTTTCGCGGCGGTGAGTTCTGGGTTACAGCAGCTGTAGGCAGCAAGGACATCTGAAATGTTGGTAAACGTCTTTCAGACTACAGGACGCTACAACCAAGACGACAGCCATCTTAATAAATTTTTCCATAGAGAGCAATAATGAATTGATTTTTATAAGGCACACTCGTTGTGTTTTCTTTGAGGTAATAACTAAGTTTTAAAGTATTATTTACATCATCTTCGTGCTTCAGAGGGTTAAAATAATGAATGGCAGCGTGATCTCATCTGGCTCAGAAGAAAGTTCAGATGTGGTTTCTTGTAAACAAGATATGAAACTTTGGGAATCCTTAAAATTGGATTGATTTCGAGAAAATATGAGCGATTGTTAGTTTCTAAAGGCGGACTGTGCTTCACAGAATGTCACTATCAAGGGTATTTACAGGTAATGTTATTGAAAACTATGATCAATACACAGTGGTAAAAAGAATTTCAGACAAAACTCATGATTTCTGCTGAAACAAATCCCCAGCACAACTTTTTATCCACCATAAATCCCAATCTATCGAAACGATGTTAAACAGATTGAATGTAAATCATATTAACAATTGGTCGCAAATGTTACACTTGTCAAGCTGTCGAGTTGAGTCTCCCCCTCCCCTGACAGGAGGCAAACGACGGGGCGTTCCCATTGGGGAGAGCGCATGTTTGTTGTGCGGGCAGTATGTGAGGGAGGAACCAGAGGGTGACTGTCAGTGCTTTAGCTACTTTCTGACGGGCACCTACCAACGGCAGATGCACTTCTGCAAGACCATCGTCACGTGAGCATCGGGGAGGTAAGGAACTTCCACTGTGTTGTATTACAATTGTTACGTGGCGAGAATAAAGACTGGTAACACCGTCGATCAGCCCTCCAAGTTATCTGCTACATCTCTGACGTGCGACTTAGTTGGTCTCAGTGTAAAGAGAGATTATGTCCTCTGACCGGAACCAAGTAAAGAAAACAGCTTTTAAGTAACAACAAATTAGTAAAAATATATCCAATTTATTACAGTGCGCAAACAGTATAATGTACGTACGGAATTGGGCCCTGTAACACTGGGACCTCGGGATGAAATCCCGCGCGCTCCACTGTTGCAATGTCCCGAGTAAGTAGATGCTTTGCGAGAGGCAGTTCCTCGTCTATGAGGCCGTACAAGAGACCCGAAGTCTTCACTGTTTCAACAATTCTGAACTCGGTAGCAGACAAAATGAATTGAAGACCCGGAAAACTTTATCTGATTTGCTACGAGTTTTCTAAATACGAATTACGGATGAAATTTCCTTCTCCTTGGCCTAAGCACCATACTTTGAAGACCCGGAAAACTTTATCTGATTTACTACGAGTTTTCTGAATACGAATTACGGATGAAATTTACTTCTCATTGGCCTAAGCACCATACTATGTGCATATGGGCCATTGGAGGCGAAGCTCCGGGTATTCTTAACCTCGGTTTCTCTTCCGGCTGCTTTGCGCCCGAGGATACAGCTCTCAATTTACATTAATCTGGAGGCCAGGTGGGCTCCAGAGTCCCTCTGGATGCAATGGCGAAGATAGAAATCTCTGGCCTTGACGGGATTCGAACCCTTGTCGTCCAACCTGCAGCCAATTGCTTTACTTATTTAGATACAATGGTTTTCAAACATCATATATCATCTGACATCAATAAAAATATACGTAATAATTTAAGCGCGTCAAATGTAATATTCGTAGAATTTGCTTTTATCACAGTAACTTAACATAACTGGATTTTATATCATATTTTAAAAGTTTACTGTTAGATGCTCCTTACAAAACTATCAATATGCACTTGTAGCAATCTGTAAACAAACGCGCATGCAGCGTTATCAAGTTCACTTACAACTGTAATAATAATGCTATTACACCAAACAACATAACACATTTATGTTACGTATTCACGCATTTTATGTCAGAGTTCGGGGTATTAAAGTGAGTATAGTACTGCTACCTTTGGTGCTGTCAGTAATCTAGTAATAATGCTCGCATGAGGACAGGAGATCCGGACATATTTTTGGCCAAGATGGCATAATTTTTACAAACTGTAACAAGACATTGTACTTGCATAATGTCACTTTAAACACTGAAAACAGTGTTACAGATAACTGGGCTTATTTAATCGAATATCATAAATAGTTCGGTGCTTCCCCGAATTAGATGTTAAGTTCTTTATTTTAAAAATATCAAAGTCCCAATAAACAGATTGCTTGGGGAGCACAAATGTTTTATGAATTTACAGTATCATTAATCCTAAAAGATTTAAATCCTTTCCACACAGAATCCTATTTCTAGAACTGTAAACCGATCTGCTACATAAACAAAATAAAATATACAAAAAGTCTTTAAATCAGTGAAGTGATGGATATAACGGTTCTTCTGCTAGATCTTAGTAAACTGACAATAAATCACATTGTTTAAACATCTACTGACTATTTCGAATGATTCTCACTTCAAACAGTGATTTTTTTCCTTAAACAGCGTTAACCATTTGTTCTTTGTCTGGGACACTGAATTCTAAGAAAATATAAGTAATAAATACCTAAATGGCCCGAAGGAATTTATTAAAGGTCTACTATACCCATTTTAATATAAATCGGTCAGGTATTCTGTATGCTGTAATATGAGGGCAGACAAGCGAATGAAAGGACATGTTAAAACTATCTGGCAGTATTAATTTTTTAGAGCACAAATAAAACGGTGTATGAACTCCTCCGCTGCAAAAAAAATCCTGTCAGAACTTTGGCTTAACACAATTCCTTAATTTCGGGAATCAGACATCTTGTGACGATCAGCGACAATTGGTACGACTCCATGCGAATCATGTAATATTGGGACTTAATAACAAAGCGATCAACCTGGCTGGTACCGAATTGAACTGCGATGTAATAAACCATTCTTTCATTAACGCATCAAAAAGCTAGCAGTCAGGGCTGTCACATTAAAATCGGCAACCATGCGTGACGTTTTAATGAGATAGATAGATGACACGCAATTACTGCACCTTGCAGTACAGCAGCACGCACTACACGAAGCGCCTAGCACCACCGTCTGCCCGCAGTTAGCAGTCCCTTTTCTTTCGCCAGCTTTGTGTAATAACAATGCTGTCTATATACATAATCACATGAAGTCTCTTACACTCAGAACTCAAACCCTTCCCATGTATTACAGATGAACACAAAGGGGGTATTTCTGAAGCTGGAATTGTTTTAAATATTTTTGTGGTAACAGTGAGATTTAAACGTAAACGCTAGAATCTAAGTACAGGGAGCAATATGGAACAGAATCTGTTTAAGAAGTTATCTAAAATTTCCTCGTCTGTTACGGAACCTAAAGGTCTATTATCATCTTTATAAGAGAAACCCAACTGACCCTGTCCCAAGCCAGATCAATCCAGTCCACACTATCCCACCCTATTTCCCCAAGAAACATCTTAATACTATCCTCCCATCAACGTCTAGATATTCCGACTGGGCTCTTCGGTTCAGGCTTTCCAACCCAAAATTGTGTTCTCATCTCACCATTCATGCCACATGCCCCGCCCTCTTACCCCCTTGATATGATCATCCTAATAATATTTTGTGCGGAGTACAAATTATGAAGTTCATGAAATGCAAATTTTGACAAAAATTATAATTAATGGCTTCACAGAATCTTCAAGAAAGTATTTGGAGTCCCTACTCTTATCTACCAAATTACATCCAAATATGGGACTCATTTAAGTTTCTCAGGCATTTGTGCTATCTGGTACACGTAACGAACTAGACTTTTTGTCGGCGAGTAAACTTCGATTCGCAGACAGCTGGATGCTATCCACGATATAGACCTATAGAATCAAAGGAAAGAGTTTTGCAGCAGTAGTACATCACTCTGGATCAAATCTGCATCCAAAAATATTCAGAACGGTGAGATCCACGCTGACAGCTAACACGTTCTATGAGTGTTTCCTAGGCAACCGCATGCAATCGAGACAAATCCTTCCACTTCAGAAACCCATCTTCATCCATACCGTCTGGACGAATCATAGAATAATTTATATTTCAATATCTAATAGACAGACACAATTATTTACAAATGTTTACATCTCTACCTAAGCCAATCCATAGGGTGGAGTACAGTGCATTTGCAGATCGAATCGTAAGCAGTGAGCAACAACATTGTAACAGGAAGTTACATTACCTTAAATGCTTGGACACTGCAGCTTTTTATAATAAAATAATTTATTGAAACCTCTTTACGATTATGTGTGCTTCTTATGCATGATTTACAGAGCCCTCAATAATGACGCATAATGGCGGAATGTTCTACTTTGTTCGTGCTGCTATCACCAGGCAGCTTTTATAATCCCTTCTAATAAGTAAAGACACATCGAAATGACGTCACTTTACACATTTTATATTGCTTTACAAGCTAATATGGATGGGAAGAGAATACGAAACATGAGTATGTATTCATAATTTTACAATTTAATCTCCAATTATTTAGCTTGTCTCATAACGAGCTGTGCAACGGATTGAGAAATAGCCAATTCAAATTCAACGTGCTTCGTAATGCAAGTTTAAAACTTAATAGTTACTTACTTCAGAAATAAACCCTTTCAAGGAACCGGACGTTTCATCGCAAGAGCCATTCACTGAGCCGAATTCTAAGCCAGTTCAATCCAATCACTAACTATATACTGAATTTTATGACATTTTCTCACGTACATCCAGGTCTGGGACGCTAACTTACCTATTGAGAACTCGGGACTGAAATTATATATGCGTTTATCATTTCCCCCCATTCGTACTACATTTCTCACCTATCTAATTCTCCTTCATTTAATCTGCCACTAATCATATAATGACGAGGACACATTATTAAGTCTATCGCACGATTTTCTTCGTCGTAATGCTACTTACTTCCTTTCAGGGCCAAATACATGTCTCAGATGCCGATCACAAACTGCAAATGTGGAATCCCTGCATTTATCGACTGAAAATGTATTCCAACCAAAAAAGAGTAATACGCTCATCTCGCCTGGGTCCATTCACATCCTATGGGATTTCTTACAGGCTTCTGAAACGCAAATTTTGGAGATGAACTTAAAAATACACCAATATTAATGACCGCCCCAAAGGAAAAATTTCGCAGGCAGCCATCGGTGGGTGGCACATCTGTTACTGATAAAATTCGTGGTTAATTTTGAGCGGATATTTGTTTCTCACTAGCTCAGATGTTGCGTTTGCTTAAATTATATTAAGCTACAACGATACGCATAAACAGATAGGTCTGACAAAAACTGCCGGAATTCCCCGAGCTATATGTTAAAGTTACAACAAATTAAATTTGCAAACACTTCGTATTCAGAACGTTTGAGAAATCCAATATGAATATATATTTTTTTTTAATTTTATATCTTAATTGCGTCATGTTTGTGTTTATTAATACAATAGTTTATTTACCGTCTCTACACAAACTTAAAAATGTTGTTAAAATTACTTAAAATTATAACATTTTTTCATTAGATACTAGATCTTGTTACATTTTACATTGACGACATGTTTCGATGTTTATCTCATCATCATCAGGTCTATCAATTAAAATCTGTTGCACTTCTTGCTCTGCGTATATTGATTTGTTTTATTTGTTTGATTTTTAAGTCTCTTCCATTAAATTTGAAGGCTGTGCCCGGATGCTTTAAATCGGGTTGTATGTGATGTGTTGTGTCCGATATTACGGGACGGTAGATTGCAACTAAAATCAAACAAATAAAACAAATCAATATACGCAGAGCAAGAAGTGCAACAGATTTTAATTGATAGACCTGATGATGATGAGATAAACATCGAAACATGTCGTCAATGTAAAATGTAACAAGATCTAGTATCTAATGAAAAAATGTTATAATTTTAAGTAATTTTAACAACATTTTTAAGTTTGTGTAGAGACGGTAAATAAACTATTGTATGGAATATATTTTTGTATTACATCGAAGCTGTCTTCGTCACACTGCGAAATTCTTGGTGCACTTAATTACTGTTTATTTTTGGGTTTGTGATTTAGGCCTCGTCGTATCAGAGTAACGATCAGAAATTTCTGGATGCTTTTGATTTGATTCATTGAATCTGGTGATCGAAACTTGATAAGAATAATTGTTGTCAGTCCAGCGTAACAGAGCGGTGGACCAGAGAACAGCAGAACAGAGAGAATAAAAAGCGAAGGGGTGGGCGAAGTATTCGAAGCGATGGGAAACTCGCCGGCTGGCAATGAAAATTTTAGTAACCAAAACGATTCGGTCTTTTGCAATAATTCCTGTAGTACAGTCGGCCCAAAACACACAAAAGACCTTGAGGCGACAGCTCATATTTACTTGCGCTCTGGACTGTAACGATTTTTAATGCATGATGGACTTTTCCACATAAATCACGTAGGGGTACAAGTTTCTATCGTGTTAAAGTTACAATTATAACATGACTATTACAGGCATCAGAACCGAATAAATTAGACCAAAAATCATTCAGTTCAAGCCCCAATGACAAGGAAAAATTAAAGTTTAAGAGCTGCGTGTTGTGTAACTGGAATATAATTCAAGAACTAAGGCTACAACCACTTCAGACACACGCTCCTATACGATGCCATATTAAGTAACAATGACGCTCAAAAATCGACACCAAGCGTAGCGATGGCAAGCGTCGTGACGACGGAAGAAGTCGCTAAATTTAGGAGAAACTCGGGATGCCAGTGGACGTAAAGAATACGACGCCGTAAGTCGTAAATCCTAAAGCCCTGACAGCGGTTATTAAATGTAAGTGAATCCCGTAAAACCTTGCTAACTCAACCCAACCCAGCTTAAGATACCAGAACCCAATTTAACCTAGCATAACTACACATGGCCTAACCGTCTTTGCCGTTACTGACCTGCCCTAAACCTGTCCAATCCTGTGTCGTGATACCTCGTGGTGTGTCATGGAATCCTGACCTAACCTTGCTAATTCTACGAGAGTACCGTAACGAGTAAAGGTGATATGAAACTGAAGTCGAGTTAAGTGAATAAGAGAAGTCTTTTGAGTTAACCATTCCTGGGGACTTTCACCACGTAAAAATTTTCTGACTCAATTTACTGTCAGACACGTGCAGAAGAACTGATAACGTACTGACCAGTACATTTTAAATGAATTTCTAAAGATAATAATGCAACGAGAAATTTTCTTGGATTTAGGGATTGTAACACTACGGACACTGCTATTTTTTTTATTAATTCAGTCCGTACCGCAAAGAAAACGCAACCACTTATCATTACGAATATCAGTTTGAGAAAATAATCGCATTTCACCCTTAGAATTATACCAAACATACTAAAGTGCAGACTTATAGTTTGTCTGGGAGATGGGACAGAAATGCACCACTAAGTTTCAAAGGGTTAACACAACCGTGGTTCTAACAACAAGACGCTGATCAAGTGTTAATTCTTTACGTTGCAGGAGATGGCGATGTATAGCACAGGAAGTGTTGGAGAATTATCAGGGGGCCAACTGACCATGGGTATCATAGGCTGCTTGCCAGACAACGTCCAGCAGGTAAAACCACTTTCGGCAGCTGCCCAACTTTATCTTTGTAAGACAGTGTTCTTCAAAGTGCAGATTCTTTTCTACATATTTAACATCGGTATTAATAACTGTGATATTTTGCTCACCCCTCGTCTGTCATCTCATCGGCCTGTCTAGGTATTCAAGTGTCGTTGCCTTGATACATTTTTTTTATGAATTTTACACACGGCAATTTTTTTACATTTATTTTAATTTCAATATATCAGATTACCGCCACGGTGGTCTAGCGGTTAGAACGCTGGCCTTGTAATCCTGGGGTCTCGGGTTCGATTCCCGGCGTGCCCGAATTTATAACTTGTGTTGGGCGAGGCCGTGGTCTAGGCAACACGGAGTTTTCCTCCGGGGGCTTCCCCGGTTTCTCCGTGGCATCCAAACAATTACTCCATTCACACACAGAAGAAGGCAATGGCAAACCACTTCTGGATCATCTGCCAAGAACGTATATGAACAGGTCCCAGTCCGAGAAAAGGATGGAAGGATCCTGTTCATATGGACCTGTCGTCAGACAGAACACTAATAATAAAAAAAACATCAGACTATTCGATCGTAACTCTTGTCTTTGTACGTACAATCACACCACAGAGAGAGAAGAGATAAAAACTGGAGAGCTAAAAGATTTAATTACGAGGTAACTGCATTCACTTTGCTGACTGACTTGTAATATACGAGCGAAATAAAAATATATCGTTAATTGCAGTCCGACTGCATGCAAAAGCGTAGATAAAATAATTGAACAGCTTCCTTTCTGGCGAGTTTCACGAAATACTGCATACCACCTCGATGCAGTGGGAATGTACCACGGTAAGATTGATTTGAGGACTGACGTGCTGGACAAAATAAATATCGTACGATGCTTGTTAACACTAAGATCAGTAAAATCTTTCTGCGCTCCGCGGGAGCTACACAGTTAGCTCTCAAGTACTGATATTAATGCTAGAGCCACTAATATACGTCAATTTGTGTAACTTTTCATTCTTCGCTGCCTTTACACGCTTAAACATAGACATCGAGCACTGTAAATTACCCTAATGCTTAATATAGGATGTTTATAGTATCATATTATTAGTGATAAATTATTTACATTTTAAAACCCGAAAAGAAGTGACGAAGTGCATATGAGAATATGGTGATGAAATACGATGAATGAGATTAAGGCTCTCACAGCGGAAAGCATGAAGATGGCTGTCTTTTTGGATGCTGCGCTGTGTAGTCGGATAGAAGATTACGACGTTTCAGAGGTGATGACGGAGGCAGCAAGCACCTCTGTAATTTCTGGGTACGACACTTTCGCTTTGGCAGGAAATCTTTATATATATATATATCAAAGATGTCCTTCTGAATTAATATATAGGTTGAAAATTAACAACCGGGGAATACAGACGAAGAAAATTGAGGCGAAAAGAGGCAGAAATAGATTACAAAATTCATAAGTAACAAAAAAGCAAACTACAAACGTATTTGACGATGAAAAGCAGTTTCAGTTTAAGTCCAGGCAGTATGGAGGCAATTCCTCCAGTAACGTGCACACGTGATCCCACAAGAAAACTCGATAGGCCTAGTAGCCTAGACGAAAAAGCCAACTTTTGACTTCTGAACCTTTAAACGGTTTTCTAAGTAGACAATCCTTGCGAATGAGGAACAAGATAAACATAATTAGCTACGGTAAAATATTGTCACGAAATATTTTAAAGAGAAGAGTCGAGGGGGAATAACACTAATGAAGAAAGCAGCGAAGAATGTTTTGGGGAAAAGATTGAAATATTTGAAGACGATGAAAACGTAAGATGAAGACGGAGGGTAAAGCTTCTGTGTGTACGTTGGTACAGCGATCAGGGCGTACTGGGAAGGCGTACGACGGCAAAGACAGAGGAGTCTTTGGACTCAGCGCCCTATGAAAGACGCCGAGCCGGGGGCCCGAGGCGTATTTACCCCTCACTATTCCTCACCCTCTTCCCTTGATCCTGGGAATTGTAGCACCTGCAGACACGGATTCAATCAGGGGTGTATAAACAGCACGCCACCGTATTAAAACTCGTCGCAAGATATCTCCGAGCTCTGTCGACAGTACATGTTGGATGGCTAGACAGACGAGGTACGAGGAGGAAGGGGAAACAATACCTTCTTACCTTCCCCTTCAAACGTACTGTAAAGCAGCCCAAACCCGCAAGTATTTTGCGTCTATTATACCTCAAATGCCTGCCACGGTGGTCTAGCGGTTAGAACGCTGGCCTTGTAATCCCGTGGTCTCGGGTTCGATTCCCGGCGGTGCCCGAATTTATAACTTGTGTTGGGCAAGATCGTGGTCTAGGCAACACGGAGTTTTCCTCCGGGGGCTTCCCTGGTTTCTCCGTGGCATCCCAACAATTACGCCATTCACACACAGAAGAAGGCAATGGCAAACCACTTCTGGATCATCTGCCAAGAACGTATATGAACAGGTCCCAGTCCGAGAAAAGGATGGAAGGATCCTGTTCATATGGACCTGTCGTCAGACAGAACATTACAAATAAAAAAATAAATACCTCAAATAAGAACGCGGAATCATGAAATAAGTGTGTTTCGATTACGAATAACACCGGTCTGCTGCATAATTGTAAGCAAATCATTTGAAAATAATACGATAACGAAATACATGGCAAGGCTCTATATAGTAGGGCTTTTTGACAACGCTGTCGGTGGCTAACACTTGATAGTCACTAATACACGACTTATTTTCTCAAAATGAGTGAGGTCTGTGAATACCTAAGACAGAATATAGAGCTCTCTTGTTGAGCCATGTAGTCTGGTAGAAGTTTACCGACGTTTCAGAAGTATTTCCTGCCTCCAACATGACAACGATATTTATGTGACGTAGGCAGAAAAAAGCAAAATTTGGAATTAACAATTCCAGTAGCCTAGAAACGACATCTCTGTACTTAAGGGTTAATGTAAACTAAAGTGAACAGCGAGGGGAAAATTTCCCGCCACTGCTGGAATCAAATGCCACCCCAATCCGATGCCATTGATTGAAATAACACTACGCAGAAAACTGGCATAAATCCATTAACACCGGTGAAATTTAGACACAGTCCAGAGGTAGCTACTTTTGTTTGGCAGAAATGTATAAAGAAGTTCCGCGAAAGAAGTTTCCAGAGGGTTGTTACAATATTTCAAACATCTTGACGTTTTACGCCACCCCCTGACTCGGTACAAATTATGAAGGCCACAGACTCAGAAACGTCGCTATTTACTGGGGGAATTTAATATCAGGCGCTTCTGTGTTCGAAACTAATCACGTGGTCCAATTTATGTACAATTCAAGTGAAAATAAACGACGGAAACATGGCATTCTTTCCAGAAATTTCATAGAAAGTTTCATGTATGTAGACTACATATTTGCAGAGTACGAGAAATAAATTTAATTTAATTTTATCATATTTTAAATTTATATTACTGTAAATAACCAATCATAGGTAGCCTTCCGCGCGAACAAGATTTTCTTCTTCTTATTCACCCTTCTAAGCTGAACCCCTAGAGAGTTCGGAAGGGTAACTAAGCAGAAGTACAGAGAAAAAAGGAGAAGAACAAGTGAGAGAAACTTTATTCTGGGGGGAACAGGAAGGACAAGATCCTCTTGTAGTCAGAAGGTCCCTAGGCAATGACCGCTCGTCCTTCTGGTAAGGATAAAGTATGATAGAGGACGTTGGATTCATAATTAGTGGTTCTAAGCCAAAGCTTGTCTAAATAATGTTTAAGAACTCAGTCCCTTACTGCAAAGAAAACACAGCACTTAGCCATTACAAAGATCAAGTGGTGAACGCTGTTTAAGAAAATAATTACTGTGCATGTACTTCCCACTGACTTAAAAGGTTTTAAATAAGCAAGAACTTTATTAATTTCAAAGATCCCGATGACCCACAACAGTTTTTAAAAAATCCTGACGCCAGACTACCACGAACCAATTCACAGATTCTTGCTGCCTCCATCATCAGGGCGATGGTGGCCCTCATGATGGATAACTTGAGAGATCAGGATTCACACCCATACAAAACAAAGCCCTGTGTAACACTTCGTTACATTCTGTCCTTTTTATGGTCAGAAGGTATTAGCCACAATCCCCATACCTCAAGCAGGATGTCCACCCCTTGTCGGCTGTCTCCGACTGCTTATTCAATAAATCCGCATCTACCCTCCATATCAGGAAGTCTTATCCTTCATTCTCAGTCTGAGGACGCACCATGTTGTGGTGACAAGGGGCCCACTTAAGTTATAATATAGTACGTTCGTTGATAAAGTTGAACGAAAATGTCACTTCCCTGCTCCCGGTAGGAACTGGTTTGAAAGAGGGAAGTTGATTTTATTGCTGTTGTGAAAAGGAACCTGCCTTGTACCTGGAAAACCTTTTGGGGCTTGCCGGTAAATCATGCAGTTCCAGCCGGGAACCGAGAAGTGACAGTTGTGTACATCGAACAGACTGTACGAGTATAACCTCAATTATATACACATATCATTTTACACGTATGTTCTAAAATCACCATTGCTATTGAAATTAAGGTAGGGACCCTTACGTTTACAAACAATGGCTGGAATATGAAGCCTTAAATAATGTTATGTTCTGATGGTTTAAGAGGTGGATTACTTTAAGATAATAACGAAACTGACAACGCCAGAAGACTTCATAGCCAAAGTTCCGAACAAAACAACAAATTGCCAGATCTGCATTATAGCAATTTATTTATGACATGTGATGGGCTATTGAACCAAGTTGGATTGTCTACCGGAACACTATAAATATCACTGAAGGTCACCCAGTCTTAACACCATTACAGCATTTTGTACTTACATCTTCAGTTGAGGCACAACGCTGGAGCTTGCATCGTACGCCATTTCTACATAACATAATTAACAGCAGTTAAAGTAATTAATAATCACTGTAACACAACAAATAAGTATAAAAACACAGGGCTCGTGGTCCCATTTAATGTATTTTCCGATCACAAACACGAGAACAATCACAGAAAGAACATATTGCCGCGCTAAGCTTCTGCAACGTCACACATACACGGAACCTGATAAGTACAAAGCGACAAAATGAGGTGGTGTGGCGATTTTAGGAACTAATTGAAGTGACGTTATGCGATAGAGGGACAGTCGGTTCCACAATATAGTGAATCACAGCGTACAAACAATAAAGGCTGCTCATTACAACACGCTCAGTAGCAAGACGTGTTAATATAATGCGATTAAAAGTCCAAAGAATAATTATTAATGTTGTTTTGTATGACTGTGACGTATAAATTGTTGCCCTGGTTTTATAATGCGTGAAAATTTACCTCCATGCCTCCTTCGAGTGGTGTATCGGTAAACAAGTGATTTTACATGTTATCAGGCCATCAAAAGCTTCTCAATTCGAGACGGCAGGCAGCACATCACATTAGCATTCCCCATTATGGAGGAACTGGTAAAGAAGTTCGCTGAGCCCCCGGGAGGCATTATGGCACATGAGGGCCCCGTCACGGGCGGTCGCTTTCTGTCCATCACACCTGCATTATTGTTTGATCGCTGCCCGGAGGTCATACATGGGTTTGAGACACTTGTAACATTGGTTCCCACCACGCTCAGGTACGTACGCAACAGGTGATCTAGACTGGTCATTAGTCTCACGAAGACAAGTCATTTGCTGAACATTGCCATTTAGGCACAAAGCACATGATAATCGCTACCTGAAATACTTAATTGGTTTTGATTACACTTTAAAGACACGTCTTAGGATACACAGGAAAGGCATTCTAATGTGTAAAATGCTATATCTGTCTTCACTACAAGTCCCTCTAACATACAACATTATTATCGTTTATTACCACACAAATTCCGGAATAGTATTTACATTAGGAGGCACCCACTTCCTTTAAAGTTCTTTCCAATTCACTATTTATTAACCATCCTATTAATCGACGCTATAAAATCTAAATAACTTAGTTTCTGGGTGTCTGACAACGTCCACAGTGCAACTGATGTACAAAATTTACTTCCCGACAGTGCGTCACACCCGGTGGGTCTCCTGACAATCAACCAAAAGGGCACAGTCGAAGGTGTGAAGCGTCACCTGGAGAGCCTAGTGTCCTTATTGGCGGCCAACCGGACGGCACACACTCTGTGGCATATGCCGGTAAATAAAAACAGGCTTAAAATTAAATTTCCCCAGTGTCTACCAATTCGAAAATTTACATGGCAATCATAATGATATTATTGACGATAATAAATAATATTATCATATGTAGTACAAAGGTGGGTTTAGTCTCTAGTGGCATGATGTTCATGCCAAGTTTCATGGAAATCCGTCGGGTTTTTTTTATAAAGAAAGATGCACACAGACGTGATAATACCACGAGCCTATCTTTCGACATAGAAAAAAAGGCAAGTGATACTTCTCGGTATGTGTTCTTTCAGCTAGTTGCCAGTAAGATGCACACAGACGTGATAATACCACTATCCTATCTTTCGACATAGAAAAAAGGCAAGTGATACTTCTCGTTATGTGTTCTTTCAGCTAGTTGCCAGCGACTTGAGCGGTACAGTTCTGGACCAGGTGTTGGACACTTGCAGCAAGAGAGTCTTAGAAGTACACGGAGACACTCTGACGAAACTGTACCCAGTGACACGACCACATGACCTGTTACCTCTTATCAAGGTAAAAAAAAAACAATTAGAATTCCATTAGATGGGCAAGATATGCGTTTCCTTTTATTGTTACACAGATTTTTAAAACATGTATCAAATGCAAACTGTTGCCGAAAGTATTTGACCTTAAGGGCGATGAAGTAAGTGGTGTTTTATACAGGTCAGGATAGCGAAATCTGGGCAGGATTACGATGGACTGGGTATGTAGATCGCATTGAAGCGACAGGTAACTCACATTGGATATTGATAATGGGCAGGATTACGATGGACTGGGTATGCAGATCGCATTGAAGCGACAGGTAACACACATTGGATATTGATAGAAAAATCCCTTGGAAGATAGCTTGTTGGTAGATTTAGAAATAGATGGAGAAAGACGTGGTTTTTAGGGCGATAGATATAAGGGTGAGAGTGGGTGTTCTCTATTAAGATTGTGTTCAACGGTGGGCCTTCGGCTTCTACTACCAGACAATTATTTTTAATTGAAATGAAATACTATGAATATAAGCAGTTTTTATTCCACCTCAGAGTTTCGTAAATTCGTAAGTCGTAGGATTTTATTTTTATAAAACTGTCAGTTGATTCAACAGTTATTTAGAATGGACAGATGCAGACACAACCAGACTTTCAGATAAAATATTGCACTTATTTTTGGAAAGAAAGCAGGGGTCTACCAGGTAACAGTTTGATTACGTACAAAGACATTAAGATCTTTTGCGTTTCACCCTCAGAGTTTGTGTTTCCAACGAATAGATCACAAAGTTACGAGTGTTCTCTTTTGCTTTCCAGGAAAAGATTTTACAACCTTCTTTTCTTAGCTACAAAGATCTTCTGTTGCTTAACATTCAGGAAGTAATCTCACGGCTTAGTTCTTCCTCCTCCTCTATCGACCCATCATACTTCGGGTCACTAATGGAGCACCTGCAGTCACCGTCTTGTACCCTTGAGGATTTCCGCAGAATCCACATGTACTTCATGGTACGTATAATTCTTCACCGAATGCAGCAGGCGAGTGAAGGTCTTGGGGCCAAATCATTTCCCGGAGACAGGCTATCCTGACAGGGCTTTTCGTGGTTTCCGGCATAGCATCTTAAATTAGCCCACTACCGCTTCCTTTCATACCGTTTCCAATTTGTGTATTCTCTAATCATCCTAACATTCGACATTCTGAGCTACTGTGAGTGTCTTTAAATGTGCCTCAAATAAATAACAACTAGTGTTGTAACCTCCAGCGTTTTGAATGTGCAGTGTGCAGACCTCTAGTATATGTCCTTGATAGACAGATAAATAATCTAGAAATTATTATTAATTTCAGAGTCCTCAGCTGGATCCATCTATCAAAGAGTTCTGGCGTGTTTGGAGTCACGAGCAGGTTGCAGCCAAAGTTTTCCCAGTGTGCAACGCAAGCAATCGACTAGGTAAATAACTTACAATTACTGCAATAAGTCTACAGACAATTGGAATTGTCGATATTATTGAAGGTCGGTAAGTACATTAATACTGTGTATTGAGACAAAAGCCAATTCTGCTGTTTATAGGGTCCCTCTTTTATACGACGTCTCCTGAGGGAGAGATGTGCGTGTTCAACCAGTCGACGAGCTCCACGATAGCGCTGTTGGGTCATGTGACCCACGTTCCCGTCAAAGAGGGCCTTCACAGCGTTATCAAGTGCCTCAAAAACCAGGACCTGGCCTTCTCGCCACGTGAGTAGTTTATTTGGCTGTCTCATATATCTCGAGACACTTGTTTAGTCCTGTAAGGAATAAGTCAACATTTTTATGATAGCTGTCTCCTGGTATGTTTCGCCGCGTAGTCTGGTAGAAGTTTACCGACATTTTAGAGGTGCCATAAGTTGCCTTGATGATGGAGGCAGCAAGAAACTGTGAAACGTCGGTGTTATTCTACCAGACTACACTGCGCAACGTCCAGAACACAGCCATCTTCATACTCGCTACGATAAGAATCTAAAATCTCACGTGTTTTCGAGAGTGACCCTATGAATGTAAGGATTTTTGTGTCGGCGCTATAATTTGTTAATAATTCCGCATTTGTGCATTAAGGTTAACTTATGAATTTATGATTAAGTGGTAAAGTAAAACATTGTTATACAGAATGGTGCCCAAGTCAGGACGCGCTGGACTTCCCAGGCTGCAATGTCGTTTCAAAGGGAAGGGCCATTTTAGATACTCAGAGTAAAAGAGAATTTATGTATGAGCATGTAACGATATATGAAAAGGGCAGACACGAGAGGTAGTTAAATAGCATACAAAATCATAGGTTAAAACATATTAAGTTAACATGCGTTTTCATGTCAAATGCGTCATGACTTTTGCAACATTCTATACAACCGCGTGTTTAAACGTGGATCCACAGTTTGAAAATGCTGCATAGAAGAGTAACGGACATTCAAAACTAGACCCTACAGTTCTATCAAATGTATAACAACATGGATTTTACTTTTACCTCATTGCACGAACCTACATCACAACCCATAGTGAAATAAACCGGCTAATGACGAAATTACATTAACATTATTTTTTTCATGAATGACAGGATGTACCGTATTTTTATAGTTTCTCTTTATTTTCCTTCTTTCAGCCTCATCACCTGAAGACAAGACAGTAAAATCCAGGGCTTACTGCTCATGTGCGGTATGCCGCGGGGAAACCCATTGTCGGTCATCTCGACGCCATGATAAACTGGCAGTGGCTTCTGTCGGTGCGATATTCCTTTAACTACTTCTGCTCTTGTGTATTTATTTAAAATCCTGCATTTATCCATGTTACTTGCGTACTTATTTCATATTATGCCTTTCCGTTTACAGAAAATTTCGGACAGGAGTCTGCATTCCATCGACCTGCTACTGTGCCCCCAGGTCAGCGCTACATGCGAGCTCCTCCACTATGCTCTTCAGCGAGGTACAGGATACCTGAGGGGCTACATACGCCCGTTCCGGTCGTCCTCAAATACTACACAGCCCCTTCAAGCGTAGTAACACCCGCAGCCCCTATGTGCTACCGATGGAAGATGTTTGCAGACACCTCGTCTGCAATATGACGTGCTCGGGTTTCGAACATACATCTTCCTACAGACTGCTGATCCTGCAGGTTTGTGTTTGATATTGACGGAGGACGATCTCGGTCAACATATCGACAAGCTACAGTGGATTTATAAAGCACTTCTGCATAAATCCTCACTTCCAACAACCTATAATATTTCTAAATGTAATTAATGTAATGACGTCCACGTAAGAACTTACACGTGGGTGGAATCTTGAGATTACACACGTACACAAAGAAGGTTCGAAATTATATTGAACTGATATCTCGAAGTTTCTATTATGTACCGTTAAAACCTTATTCAAGTGAATATGAATAAGAAATTCCTTTATCTTACATGAAACATTAAAACAGTTGACAAATGCTACCTGTAAAAGGATTTTATTCTTATGTTATTGTTTGATTTGTAAGTGGCGTAAGCCTGATCCTTTACGACACTAAATGTTGTCTTTTAATACAACATGTGAGAGAAAATGAGTGAGGTTTAGAGTAAACTTCCAGCCAGATTGATAAATCGTAGGCCTACTCAATATCTTTTCGAAAGGTGTAAAAAAATTTGTTTATGAAAATTAATAAATACCTTTCTATGTTCCCAGGGAAACACGTTCAATATGCACTTCTGTAAATTATGAATCTAGTCACTATTTATGTATCTTATGTTTTCACACGAACATCCAGAAAAAATTTCCGCTCATTTCTATCCTGAAGAAGGGTGATGCACCACCTTTCTTCAAAATGTCGGAATTCTTGCCATTTCGACACGATGCTATATGCCCAAAAGATTATGCTAAATATAGACCGTAGGAAACACGAGTTTCGTGCTGTTTAAAACTTTCCACATCTTTATTAAAACGTTAACATCTATAATGTTTAAAATAAATATTGTATGGTAAATTACTTTACTTAGTACACTACTTAGGCTAACGACATGTGTCAGTTTCTTTACCAACTCGTGGCTACTGAATTAGGTATCTATATTCGTTCACAGTAACTATAAAATTGGTACAAACACAAATACTGCAGTGGTTTACACAAGATTAAAATCTTTTTATAGTTTATAGTTTAGATGCGTCATATTTGTGTTAAAATTCAGTATATATTTATTTATTATTTCAGTCTATACACAAACTTAGTTTTTTAAAATGTTGTTGTTAAAATTAAAAGCTTGCATTAATAGACATATATTAGTTTTAAAGATGAAAATAACAACAAAAGACCTGAAGATGATGCAATAGCATCGAAACATGTCGTAAAATAATAAGCGCTGAAATTGTAACATCGAAATAACGATGAAAAGCGCTAAATTTTAATTTTAACAACAACATTTTAAAAAACTAAGTTTGTGTATAGACTGAAATAATAAATAAATATATACTGAAGATTAAAATCATAATGATCCGATTTGCAAAAATCCGATCACAGTTGACCACCAATAACTATTCTAATGGCATTAAAACATTTAACTGAACCTCTCGTATTGGTACTAATTAGTTAAGCGTCCGTTCTTCAGCTATAAATAAGTCACGTTACCAGTTACCATCTGGTCGTCATTTGTGTTTGTTCACTCCAGTCATCGTAAATGAAGTGCTACTCTTCTGATGTATCCGAAAGAAGGATAAACAATGTTATCCTTATGAAGGTCCTTTAATCGTGCAGGCACAGCACGAAGGCAAGCGAAACTCGTCAACCACAGGCTTTCCCTTTTCTGCGACAGACAGAAGTCTCCTGAACACGTACTTCTGCTCGCAAGTGGCAGTATAACCAGCGGGAAAGGAGTCGCTGAGAGAACATTTGTCCAAGTGTCTGTGGACAAGCAATGAAAACAATATCAGCAGCTGACTTGTATACAAGATGCAAGTGGTTGCCTTCTGCGTTACTGAGCCGTCTAGTCTGGCAGCCGTTTACCGACGTTTCCCTGATGATTGAGGCAACAAATACCTCCGAAACGTCGGTAAACTTCTACTAGACTACAGGCAACAACAAGCCGTGAGAATCTGAAATATTACAACTCATACACAACATCCCACTTAAAAAGCATTTGTGTGATCAGTATCCTACGAATGTGGACGTCATGAACTCACCCACATGTCTCGACTCTCACTCCTTGAACATAGTCTTCTCCTACGTTGACGACGAATTTCCATTCGTCGTCCTTATTCAACGCTAACTTTGGATAGACCACTTGTTCCTGAAACATATGTACAATACAGTGTGGCATGTTGTTAAAGATGATTAAACTTAATAAATCATGGTTATACGAAAACAAATGAAATCACAACTCTGTATCCAATCCAGTCTGCGAGCAGCAAAGCTGAGCGGCAACAGGAGATACACAGTTATCACAACCACCCGAATTTTGGCAGGCGTTTAGTCGGAAATTTTAAGCAGAAAAGTCATTTAGAAATGCATATACACATACTGAAATGGGTTCATAACATCACATCCTATTCCTCTAGGCTACATTTTGATATTATTCCCTCTATACGCTTCTCTCTCACAACGGTCTCTTCCTATGGAATTTGCTGACTGTTATTTTGTGTACACTTCTCGGTTTAGCATGGATCTTACGCACACGAAGTACCTGAGCCATCTTATCCTTCTCGATTTAATCACGTTACTGAAGTTAGTAAAAATATATTTACTTTAGTCTGTCCCTCTCTCTCTACAGCAACAAAATTACTCGTAGAATTGTGTAAAATTGTACGACCTGACATTTAGGTAATGTTTTTATATAAACCGAAGGAAGACCCAGTCCTTACCGGTTTTAAAATAATGATAATTGTTTAACGATCTATTTCAACTTACCAGTGATGGACAAAGCTTTGTTTCTTGCGGCTGTATTCTTGAGTGGATAGTGGTTTCCTGCAAAAATTAAAGAACATCGAAGTCTGCTTTATTAAATCGTCAATAATGTAAATTCACTTACAGGCCTGTACGAAGTAGTTAGGTAATTTAAGCCATCTTATTTTTCAAGTTACGTTGTTGGGGATCTGTGTTCTCGTCACCTTAAAACCATCAACTCCATCTCACAATTATGAAATTTACATATATGAGTAACTGGCATTTTTGTGTACCTGTCACATGGGCCTGTGTATTTTCATTCGCTTTCAAAAATGTCTTTCATTTTTCTGCATTGAAATGCAATTTGGGCATATATAAGTAGGTTTAAGATTTACATATACTAATGGCGCCTGAATGTATGTTACATATCAATATTTTTTTATATAAATGCCAATCTCAGTTACGTAAGCTACACAGAAGCATCTAGCTTTGCTCCCATTTTAAACGAACTCAGCGTTATTTATTTCTTCCTTGGTACAAGTGCGTAGTTCTTGCAACTAACATTATCTCACCTTTATCTCAGAATCTGTCCCAAAAATGTCCATGTGTTCTCTTCCTTCCTTCTTGAGGATTTCCAATAACATCTTTCTGCAATAAATCAGTCGTTTCAAATATGTTAATTAACGGATTCATTTGAGAATTTCTCAAAACAAAATACCTATCACTAACAAATGTCAATGCAACTTCTTTCTTGAAAGGTCTACAGTTATTCATCTGGTTAAAACAATCCCTGATTTTGTGGAAAATAAGCATTCATTATCGTGTTATGTAAAACCTTTATTTGGTCCTAATCTAGATAAATATATTTCTTACATTCACGCACTAATTCACCAAGAGAACGCAATGAAAGGTGCAGGTAATACTTACAAGGGATAGTCAGAAACATTTTCGATGAATGTCGCGTTGTTTTTTATATCTCTGGGTTTTGGGTTAAAAGCATCTGAAACCCTCCTCCATCTTCTTCCTTCATGTTGCTTATCTTCATGAAAATGTCCTAAGTAAAGAAATTAGTAGACGTAGACAGGAATTAATAAAAATAATTTAATTTTTTCTGGAATAATCTTGTATAACAGATAAAACATAACGCATTTTAAGGGATGTATCCTGTTCTATGTTGAACGTTAAACTGACAATCAGTCTACACGATAATTTTGATTTTAGTTTCAATGTTAATTAAAAATCCACTACGTAATAGACTGTGCCTTAAGCAGTTTACCCTCTTCAATAGAGCGGACTATTTAGGACTATTTACCTGTGAAAATCTTAGCTTAATTGGAATGGCTGGTTGATGCTGATGGGTAGCTCTGGGGGAATCGGGAAGGGAGAAGGGGTGGGTAGAACACAAAAGTACGTAAATTTAACCAAAGATATTGGGTGAAGATTTTAAGAGACTATTCATTCACTTCATTGTACTTAACATAAGCACGAAAATAGTCTAACATACCTAGTCCCGTCTTCTATAAATATTAGTGAAAATATATTCTGTCACATGAAAATATCTTCTGTGATGACACTAGGCGATCACATCTTGAATATGACATGATAGTCTTATTGTCAATCCTATCTGAAAGACTTGATTGTCAGACATTTATAAAATAGTATACATGCAGACAACTAGTGTTTCTGACGGATTAGGTAGCCCTGCCTAATTACATGGAGTTACCTCTCTTACAAAAATGAGGACTCGTCTTGCGCCAGGCGGCGTATCCAGCTGAAGCATCTACCTGCAAAAAGATAAAATTAAGATTCAGTTTTAAGTAAACCAAAGACGTCCGTAAAACAACAAGAAAAATAATTAATCACATGTTTAATTTTCAGTATTTAAGAAAGCAGGTAATATTCTACTCACATTAATTAAATCTATAAGAATCTGATAAATGCAATCGCGTTAACTTCATTGACTTTTTAGAATAGAAAATTCTAAACAACCTAACGTTCTGAAGTAAACTGTATTGACATATAGAAATTAACGCGGGGCCCCTGCATAGACACTGGCGATTTGGAGTAGAGACATTCTTTAGAAGATGATAGTATGTGTGTAGGCTTGTCGATGTTAACCAACGTTTCAGAGGTCATACTGCCTCCGTCATCAGGGCGATCGCCCTGATGACGGAGGCAGTATGACCTCTGAAACGTTGGTTAACATCGACCAGACTACACAGCGCAATAACCCAGAAGACAGAAATCTTCACACTCACCGCCCTGATGATTGTAGCTTAGCTGATCAACAAATTTCCCCTTTTATGAACTCTGACGGCTCGTTGCCGGTGTCATAATAGTTCACCATCTTGATCGAATTATCAGTTATAATCTAGGATAAAGGACAACATTATTGTAGTCATTTCTTTCTCATAAAGACTTCTACTCACCAATATGAACATCACTAACAGTACAGAAACAGTAGTCGGCATGGGCATTTTTGACGGTGAAGACAGTGCTACAAGGAACACGAAAAAATGTTGAGATATGATTAAAGTGTCGGAGATATTTTACAGTATAAGCATATACATAATACTTACAGAGTCACGTATGAACACAGAAGTATTTCAGTTCTTCTTTCTTTCTTTGTATTAGGTGAAAACGGGATCGGTTCTTACATATTCTTTCTGATATTTCATTTATCGTCCTTTGGTTTGACTTTAAATACTTCTCCTTTGCGTTCGACAAAGCTTTACTAATTAACTTCAGGAAATAAATTAAATGGTACAGTACACTGTAAATTTCATTAATTACATTTGACTGATTATCAGAAGTCTATAGTAAAAGACCAACCTAATTAAATAAATTTAATTATACATAAACTTGACAATTTAGTTATTAATTAATTCTGTATTTTAAATCATCTCTAATTTCATCGCCATGTTCATAGAACCAGCTGAACCCCATGTCTGTACTCAAAAGAAATAAATAAATTAAAAAAATAAACACTTTATAGCCGAAATTCACAGATAACAGTAATCTACTTACCAGCACTTGAACATGAAAATAAGACCAAAATATCCTCAATGATACGATTCTATTCACGAAGTAAGTTGAGTGGTTTTAACTAAGCAGCAAATAAAATTTGTCCGGTTGTTTCTGCTGTTGTTTCAGAATAAACTAATGGAGCAGAACTATAAAACTTACGTTGCTTCTTAACAGTAAAGTCAGAACTGAGGAAATGGTATTTACAAACTGCTTTGTGGTTTCCGCATTCGGCCTAACCTCAATCTGTTTATTATGTACACTTGATAGAGAATGTGTAATTATAGCTAACTGCTCTCTCAAATGCAAAATACAAGTAATTCAGATTCTCTTAAGGAAAGACTGAAGACCTGTCCTCCCTTAATAGAAATCAATTTCCAGATGCTTTCCTTTGGGTAAACAGTAAACTAAGGAATTGTAGATGCGTCATATTGTGAATTAATAGTATTAAAATATTTAAATATTTTAAAATAACCGTCAATCACAATAAAATTAATTTTATTGTGATTGACGGTTATTTTTAAATATTTAAATATTTTAATAGTAAACTAAGGAGTTAAAATTATAGTAGAATTTACACTTATTCGGTTCTTGAGCTTTCATATGAAAGCTAACTTCATCGTAGAAGCGGCAGTGACGTATTAACAACGAAAGGGTTAATGTGACTAACTGAGCGGTGTAATAATGAAAAAAGTTTTCCTGCGGTATTTTGAAGAAGTGTTCAAAGGTTAGCGAGGAAAACGTAAGAAAGCCAAGAAAATTCATTAATAATGCTGCAAGTTATTGTAATTTACTTAATATAAAGGACCGAAGAAATGAAATCATCAAGTCAAACAACATCAAAAGGAATTAGAACATAAACACACTAGGTTATATAACATAAGTGAATTTAAGGTTTACATGCGTCATGTTTGTGTTTTGGATTAATATATAGACCAAAGATGGGAAAAACGAGAAGACCAACGAAACACATATTACAATAATAAATTATTGAAAGGCATGCATTATAATATGGAATAGTTTTAAATAAAAACAACACCTGAAGATAATGTATTACATCGAAACATGTTGTGAAATGAATGAAAGCGCTCAAATGTAACATCCTTATAATGATGAATAGCGCTAATTTAAAATTTAACATTTTAACATTTAAATTTTAAATTTTAACACCCAAATATAGTTTTGTGTATTGACCTGTATTTTATTATATATTTTAATAAGTGAATTTTTCTAATACTAGCCACCCAAATTTAAATCACGACAATTTAATGGGATTAGTATTACACATTAGGTATTTTCTGTGACCGAATGCAAGTCAGGACTGGAGGCAGCGCCACATGTTAGACTCCAGGAAGTGATATTTCGAATGTATAAAATGAACTGCTGTGCGGTTTTCCGCTCTCAATTCAGTCTGTTTCTTAGAACTGCATTTGATAATGATAAGCTCAGATATAAAACATACTGTAACATTAAACATCCTGTGGTTGTTTAAGATTCAAAACGAAAGAAATAACTAATTCTAAAAAGGTCTCTCGGAAGGCCAAGAAATTCCCCATTTATGAAACACTAACGGTATTACAAACCTTACAAAAGTCAGCCAATGGACTCTATCCTGAGTCAGATTAATCCATTCCACACCCTCACTTTTTGTTTCTGTAATATTTTCGTACCATTTACGTCTAAAATTTGGTATCCCAATTGTTCTCTTAATCTGAATTTTTAACTAAACTCTTTATGTAATTTTATCGAACTCCATAAAACAGAGCCCTCCTTGAGCTGACAGCTACTCATATAGAAGAAGTTTCTTGCCCTTTGTAAAGTAAGAGAGTTGGTGTACTGAGAATACCAGGAGAGATTTTGCTGAAATTAGGGTAAAACCTAGCAGTACTAGCAATAACTTTATAGCATTTAATATGAAATTTCCATAGAATATCTTTATTTTTTATTGTTACATTAAGTTAAATTAGGAAAATTATTATAACACTTTGCAACATTTATCGTAAAAATCTTCAGTATAATGCAGTTCATAATTTTTCAAATATATTTTTCTTACTTGCTTTTCATTTTTCATTTTATGCTAGTTATTTTCAAATTTATTTAGTTTGTTTGCAAAAATCACATATAACTATAAAAATCAATTTTAACCTGGTTTACCACGCGACGCAATAGCCAATCTGCTGAGATTTCTTTGCGCTGCGATGTGTTGTACGTTGAACATTTAACAACAAACACTCTAAAACTACGTCCAAATTGAGAGATACTAAATTTTAAAGCCATGGATTTACTTTTCCAAAACTCTGTATTATGGAGTGTCCCTTTTCAAGACTTCAAGCACTATTAACCACTTGGGGTGGATATCCTGTTTTGCCAGCCAAAAGAAGCTGACAGGATATTTTCCGACGTCATAGATCAATGCCACAATTGGCTCCATATTACCTTTCTAATTTACATCAGTGACAAGTTTTATTAGCAATATTTAGCCTGTACTAACAAAACATTGTAAATTAAGAGAAGGAACAGGGTTTATTAACAATAAAAGGGTACTTAAACCAGTGCTTGTGCTGATATCGCAAATTCTTCGCTCAAGACGCAAACGTAGTTCATGAAAATCTTCCTGCCAATATTACCAGAAAACTAAATTTGATGAAAGCCGTAACTAACCTAGTACCAAACAAACAGGCTAACTAACTACGTGTAGCAGATTCTTTCTTGAGAAGTTCATATTCGAGACGAAAATTGTCACACTTCTTCACATTTTATAATAGTATAATTTACTTAATTGATTCATGTTATTTTTACAAATATCCTAATGTAGTTAGTAGTAATTTTTAGTGTATTTATTTTTTCATAATCAATGTATTTTATATATTGCTTGTTTTACCTTTTATGTTTTATTGTGTTTGTAAGTTTATCTTTGTGCTGTATCTGTAATTGGCCATCAGGCTGTTGATACAGCACACAAATAATAAATAATTGAATTGAATTGAATATTCACTTAGCGTATCAAGAAATTTTCTGCTATAGGCCAATATGGAGTTAAAATATTTAACCTCTCTTTCGTCAGCTGTTTTAAAGCAATTGGGTTCAAATTGTTAAGCAGTTTATGAGATCTATAGGCCTGCAAAAATATCCAAAGGTAAAGACCCAACAGATAGTACCTGTGTATTTGTCAGCGTATTGCCTACAAGAACGTAACCTATAATCATATGTTAACACATTCACCACGTGAAAGCGGTATCCTACTTCTGTGGTTTTCACACTAGCCAGCAAAAGTACAGAAAAGTGACTTTTGTTCTATGCCACATTTAATAACATAATTCATGTATTTATTTATAAATGCCTAAAACTAATATTTATATGGAAACCCGGGATGTTAGACATGTTGACGCGATAAAGCATCTTAGTTAAACAGGAACAAATAAAACAGAAATTTTAATAACCTCATTTTTTTTAACATTACAAGGGCCAGAGGAGCGTATGTAGACACTGTCATGTATGTTACAAGATGAACACTGAATATTTGAACGTAATTTTCGAGACAAATAGCATTTTATGTTACAATCAAAAATACAGACCACGGTAGGTATTTCTCTATGGTGGCTGGTTGACGCAGGCAGGCAGACACGAACCAAATTATCTTGACATAATTGTGTTAATAGTGCATGAAGTCTGACATGGAGTCTCTGTATTTAACAAATACTAAATCTATAGGAACCAGGCAAGACGCCTTCATGTTATACAAACACAATATTTCGTATCACTATAACATATAATTAATGAAGGTAGTCTAATCTACCCACAAGAAATAAAATATATGGCAATTGACAAGGTTTCACATTTAAGATTAATGTTACATCACATGCTGAAACACACACAAAACATGCGTTATATTACCTTGTAACCCTTAACTTGGATAACTTATTTTGCAAATACGAAGTTCTTTATATTGATTTTCAAGAATTGGCCATGGGTGTTACATATTACAACATTTACAAACCACAGGTAGAGAATTACTGTTACATTTCTACTTTGACGTAAAAAATACTGACTGCTTCTAAATCCAGGACACAGGAATCGAAGGATAGTTGAGATCCTTGCATTCTTTTAAAATGTCTTACATATTACACACACACACACACACACACACACCTATCATATATTAAAATAATAGTTTTGTGGGAAATCTTCCCACAAGCACAGCCAAAGTTGTCGGTAATATCTTTGTGACCTTCACAACAACAGGAAGGCACAATTTTCAGATCTACAAAGGACAGCTCCTCCATCTGGAGCTAGCTGCCTGACTGTAAAACAAAAAGTGTTCATGTTAGATTCGTTTTTGTATCTATAATAACAGGCGTTACTAGTGGGGCACTAATACACGTGTATAACACGCACCCTTATTTTATGATCTGAAATATCACGGCGACTACGTATGCACTACAGCAGTGGTATTCAACCTTTTTTGTTCGCGTACCCCCAGATATAATTTCTTTTCAACTTTGTACCCCCAAAGTTGTTGGTGTATAATTCAAGTTATACATAGTATATAATCTAAAATAAATTAAATAAATTACATTGATTATTCAGTGTTTATCAAAAAATAATATACATATTTTTTTAAATTTCACGTACCCCTCAAGATGCCTTCGCGTACCCCCGGGCGTACGTGCACCCTAGGTTAAATACCACTGCACTACAGTACCCTGAGGACGAGGACGATGATGGTTCACGAAACATTGGATTTTTTTTCCATTGAACCACCTGACACGGCTCTGCTGGTAGCCCGAGAAGAATTCTTTATACGCACCCTAATTTTTGGAATGGATAATTATAAAATTAAGTATTCGTGTCTACCACGCTTCAAAATAAATAAATATAAACAGTGGAAACATTAAAAAACTAATTATGTGATATGGCATATCTGAAAATTAAATGGGTAGAGTTAAGATGCTTTGTTGCAGGTCGTGTTTTGTAATGAAACTGAACCGTATGAACTAGTATTTTTAAATCAGTTGAATCCGTCACGTACCTGAATTTCTCAAACACAGTGCCTAGCTAATGATGTAGCTCAGAAGATTTATTTTCGCCTTCTCGTCCTCCTTGACGGAATCTGAGATCTTCCTGTGTCACGTGCCATTCTGCGTGAACGATATGACTTGGTAACAACACAAGAACAACAAGATGGAAGGCGAAACGAATCGGTGACAGGCTTGCCGTCCTCGCCCAAAGCCAGCAGCTTGCGATAGACATATTTCTGCTGACAACTTGTCGTGTAACCACTCGGAAAATTTTCTGCAAATGTACAAGAACCTTGTCTCCTAAAAGAAAGAAACCAATTATTAACAATAAAATTTTAAATATACGTAAATATGTTTTGACAAATACAATAATTTAATATATTTGCACTGATACCCTATGAGTTAACAATTTTCTAAAAGGAGAGTGAGACTGATAATGATTATGACAGTAATAATGATGATAACACAATTTTATGCCTGCTCAGAAAATTTAACTGTTATCTCATCTATTTCCCATGCTATAATTACGAAAACAAAATATCAGAAAATAACATGTGTGTTACATTGTATAATTTATTTGTACATCAGCATTTCCTGACAGAAATATTTATCATAATGACAAGCAATAAAATTCCAGTGTTTTAATACAGTAAGAACGTTTGTTAAAAAGCTTTAAAATGTTTCACACTTCATTCATCATAACATATGAGTAGAGTAACGGTAAAGTTTATTTGCAGAGTAGTAGTGTGTATCTTCTTAATTTCATGTAGAATGTTATTTTGGAATGTTGATGATTGCTCATTTTATCAAGAAATCACTTGCTTTTACTGAACCGCAAATTTCGTTACAAATGTCCGTTAGAGAACATTGTAGCTGGAATTGAATTATACTCACGCACACTTTTCTATGCGAATTCCTTGTATATATGTATCCTGATTTATCACAAACAGCCATTTATCATCTTTGCTCTGAGCCATTTTGGGATACACCACTTGTTCCTGGAAAACATTAAAGAATATTTTAATTTCGGTAGTTAGAAAATTATCTTTCTAGAACTGACTAAGAATGATTTTTGCAAGTCTTAAACCGGCTGTCCACTATCATTTTCACATAATTATTGTCACACTTCAATTCCAATTTCTTTAAAAAAAATTTAGAAAGGATTCGCTTAATTCTAAATCCTGTCCCTCTAACACTACACCACATTCAAATTTTCTTCTTAAATCACAATCAATTTTAACACCAAACATCGCACTAAATAGAATTGCTGCTTTTACATTTTGAAAAAGACTGACTTAACCTCCCCAAGTCTTTTGGCCCTCAACAATTACAAAGAGTTTAAATTACTAATAAAATCTCCAGCAACATAAATCTAATACGCATAACAGAAACCCAAACATCAACGGCATTGTTTAAACACTGAGAAGTACGTCATTATTGACGAAGACTAATACAAGCTGTCAACAATATCCAGTTACTAACAAATAATAAGAGAAGGAATGAGAATCAGCCTATCGTCAACAATAGCATTTTGCGGAAGGTATTAAAGAATGACGTTTACTTTTCACACGCTTTCATGAAAGCACTTGAAATATGTTTCGTTTCCAGAATTGAGGTTTTCATAGCGATAAGAATGTGGATTGTAGTCTTGTGGGTTATAACGTAATGTAGACTCGCAAGTGATTAAATATTGTTAATATAATACTCGAAACATTATGACACAACATTGTTCTTTCCACATTATACAGATTAAGAGCTTGTTAACAAACATCATAATATTCTTACCATAGACGGACAAAGTGATACCTCTTCATCAGGATTAATTCTGAGATTTATATCCATCTGCAATTAAAATAATTCATACATTAACAAAAAAACAAATAATTTAATCAAGGTATTTTGTGGAAGTATATGCAATATCACTCCAGGGATACAATTTTCGTGCCTGTTTCTGATTGTCCGTATTCATTGGTTACTCTAGATGGCTTCCTTCCTAAGCTGATATCCAAAAGAAAAGACACGTTCGTTAGTCAGGCCTTGCTTTTTACTGAAGACTGCAAATCGCACTACGCCCCATTTACCCCATGTAAACGCCTTCATTACTACCTGAAAAGTGCCACGTGTGTACTCACCAAATCTGTTCCAAAAGCATATGAATTCGTCACATTTTTCAAAAACAGTCGCCTCACATAATCTCTGAAAAATAAAAGAAAACGTTATAACTAATTGGACACTTTCGTGTATATTCAAATTTCGGGAACATTTAATTTACAGAATATTAATTTTCAGCTATTTGTTTTATTGCAAAATTTTAAAGTTGCATTTAAAATTATATTTGTCTTGCAAAATTTATTATAATTATCAGTATTTTGCATATTTTACGTATTGTAAGTAAATTAAAGAGAGGGGGATGTGGATTTGATTAATCAGGACAGCAACTGCTGGTGGGCTACTGTGGGCATGACAACAATCCTTTTAATAACAAATATACTGTGCTTTTATAAATTTTATATTCCGCCACAGCAAGGACATTTGTGTCCCCAGTCCTATAAGGTGCTATTGGCGTAATATTAAATAAACAAAACAAAGTAGATAGATCTCCTTCAGGTTGTGTAGAGTTAAAGGAGCAGAATAAGAACTGGGGAGATAGAAAAACGTACAAGAAGTTTTTAGATACAGTCTAATCAATGTTCATTTACAGTTATGATGATGTGAAGACATTTATTTACGACTGTCACTGAACACATAGGGTAAATCGGACCCTTAGAACATTTTCATGACGACCTCGTGCAAAGGAACAATTGTTAATGCGCTACTAACTGTGGATAGTTGTCAGCATTTTCACAGATGCCGCTTTCATCTGCACATGTGGGCTGCCGACCGCTCAGTTGTGGTGTAAAATTGGCCACTGTGTTGCTCAACTGCTGTCCTGGAAAGACAATCTTTGATTCTTCAGATGTGTCCATGTTCTCGGCTGCATATCGACCTAAAACATTTCGTAAATTTTGTAATTTAAGATCTTTGGGGTGAGGTGTCACAGATCCGTCCTAGGACTTAAAAAAATATGCACAGCACTTAAATTGTACTTTCAAACCGCAGTTCGGGTATTGACCTAAAATATTTAGCTAACAGCAGCTTATTAAGACAATACAAATGGAATGTCTTGTGCGCATGCGACGTCCTGGTTAATGACAAAGACCCCGAGGTTGTAGCGTCCTTGACTGCCACCTTCACTCTTTCAAAATGCAGCAAAAAGAAAGTAAAATATTCGGTAAGAGAAAACGGAGTCAGTAACATTTCGTGTTGCATTGCGTTCTATTGATCTAACGAGGACGAATTCAGTCGCCCCAGGCACTTAGACCACTGCTGCGTAAATCGCAATCTTTGTCAAAAATATTAACTTTTCCTTGGCAGATATCATGTTTGTAGGTTGAGTTCTTTTTTTCCCCCTCGGTGTTTAGGTGGTACGTAGGCAATCCCCTAACTTACACAGTAGTTACGTTCCCAAGAATGATTGCATAACTCAAAAATCCTTCTTGAAACTTTCCTTCGAAAGTCTTTGCAGTTTATTGCAAATACATAATTCAATTAACATTAATACTATTCATGTTAATATTTATAAATTATTGTAATGCAAATCGTTTATTTCTGTTTTAAAAAAAATTAACATGTAATCTTGTTAAAGATAAATGCTCTTAGATCTTGGATACGCGTCTTTGATTTCCAACAAATACAATTATCCCTATTGGTTATATTAGTGATGAACAAATGTTTCGCATTCTTTACCTCGGCACTATATGTAAGCGAAATGTTACTTTCAATTTAAATTTCGAGGAAAGAACTGGTGGGAACATAACCACTAAACAGAAGGCTGGGTGATTCCCGCGAACGGTCTGAAAGCTGTGGGATTCGAACATAGGTCGTCCAACCAATAACTACCCACTTTATTTACTGAGCTACCACTTGGGTGTAATTGTAGGTACATTTCGAGGCTTCATTTTTCTACACAGTGCTCTACGGAAAGCTAGTTCTTATCCAGAGAGAGTTTTATCTTCCTTCATATAAATAAAGACGTCAGAGCAAAGTGGTTCTTACCGTTCACGACAGATGAGTAGTTCTCCCTGTAGTACTGGTTCTGTGACCATGACTCCGATGTAACAACCTGCACCAAAGAAAAACAGTTCTCGTCACACCGTTTCAGCACCAATATAAGGTTAAGTGGAACAACTAAAGTTTAGACGTGTGTGCAGACATCGCTTAAAGACATAAACAATCACAGCATTCAACGAGGCAGCCATAATCATAAACATAGTAGAGTATAAAAGGTAAAGACATCACCTATGGACGTTTCAAAATCAAATTCCCAAAACTTTACTCAAACGACGCAGAATCAAATTTAGCAAAAGTGAAAATGTGTATTCTAATATGTTCCAAACCCGTTACTTAAAATGTGGGGTCGAAAGACTACGGCCAGCTGGCTACAATTTTCTTGTGCTGACGTCAAAGGCGAGAAAGACAAAAAATTTCTGCTACTGAGGATAACATTAATATAAATGGAAACATTATCTACGCATTAAGGGCAAAAATGAATTTTAATTTTAAAAATATAAATATTTGCCTATAACATCAAAAGCTCTTCATTAGAAAGGTACATTGTTCCGTTGTTCACACCGTATGGAATTTAACACAATTATTGTAGTAGGCCTATTAATAAATTTGTTTTAAAAAAATTTACAATGTACTGATTGAAATAAGAATAGAAAGCCAACAACGTTCTCGTAATAAACTGAGTTGTTCAGAGAAATACAACTATTATCTTTCTTCAAGTGAATGTTAGTTGCTTCTCTCCTCCAGTTAAAGAAATACAGATTCACTTTCTGTGCACAAAATTATTAATATTTCCGCAGTCCTCAACAAGGCCCGCGGCAATGGAAAGATTGCCGGCTCCTGCGCAAGATTTTATACATCCCACTGTCCTTGATACTTATTTATTTCAGATAAACATCGACTGTTACTAAGCCAGTCATACTAAAGATACCACAGTACAAAGATTCAATTTAGTTTTCATTTTGTTAAATAGTCTATATACCACGCCATAACGTTCAATAAAAATGTGTACGGAACACTTGCCTAAAATTACATATGTGGGTAAAACGACACACCTGTGTTATCGGCAGTGTTTCTTGTATGGCTGTACTTTTTGTGCGGTTAGATTGGTCACGTTGGTACTGCTATCCAGTGAAAGATGGCGGATTGATAAAGCGCCGGTTCCAAGCTTAGAGTGCAAAAGTATGTTTTCTGGTGTTTCTCTTGTGGTTTTACAGCCAGTTTATCAACACTGTCAACCTGAGATGTGTAATCAGTTTATTGAAACACATATTCACTGAAGATATTACAAGTAAGTCATAATTAACACTTGTTTTTTCGATCGGTCTATCTTTCGATTTTAGATTATAGTTTGGGAAACAATTGTAGCCAACTTCGGAGTAAATGTCACACCAGGATTGTGTGTAAACTTTGCACGTAGACCTAATTTTTAACTTTATTTTAGGAATGTGTCTTACGGTGTTGTTAATGAGTATGTGCTGTTCTTGTCAGTTATATTTCTCTGTTCTCTTTTTTAATTTCTCTGCCTAATACGTTGTCATAATCGCGTTCTGTAGACTTTGTTGATAAACATAATAGTTCACGAGAAGAATGTGTGTTATTTTACTCAGGGCCTTGGCCAAAAATAACAAACCGTGAACAAACAGGGGCATTTCAACTTTGCTGTGTTTATACCTCTGTATTCATAAACCGAAATCAATCAAATTTGGCTGACGGAATTGGACTCAAACTTTATTGGGACTCATCGTAGAAGTTTAAATTCAAAAACTAAAATACATTTCTTCATTTACATCCCTAGTAATTACATCAATTCAAAAACTAAAATACATTTCTTCACTTACATCCCTAGTAATTACATAATCGAAAACCGATGATTATCTTAACAAAGGACTGATATGTACCGGGTATTCCGTCAGAGTATCGAACGAGTATCCCATTTAGAAATTCCAGCAGCGATAGAAATTAAGCATTTACCATTCATGCGTGATCTTTGACACCCTGAACTTCAAATAAGAGCTAACTCCACGGAACAGAGTCATTCCTTAGAGGAATATAGTCGCTCAACTGATAATAAGAATTCCTGTTTTTTTAAGGAATCAAAAAAGTTCATTGATGTCTTCATAAAATCCCTCCACAGGTTCTTATCAAGCACCAGATGAATTCATATCTTCACTCTCTACTTAGATCGGTTTTAGTATTTATTATCTTGCACCTACGCCTAAGTCTTTCTAGTAATATAGCAGTTCTCTCATGCATGCTACATCTCCAACCAATCCAATTATTTATTTTCATGCATGCTACATCTCCAACCAATCCAAACATTTATTTTAAAGTCTGAGGCCCTGTGCTTTGTTTTTAAATGTGACGGTCTTTAGGATGAATAGTTGTCAGTCCTCCACCGACCTCAGACATGACCACCCCTTGTTGGCTGTTCGGAGCTGGCTTATTCAATACATTTGCAGCTACTCTAGATATTTCTCCTTAGGCAACCATTTAAATTCGACATTCTTTGCTTAATTATATTCTGTCAGCTTGAAAAATGCAGCTACTGCAGATCCAAGCGTAAGAGATCGAAGCCTGAACTGGTTATTTCAGGTTTGCTCTGTTGGCCGCCGTAAAGCTGGTAGTTTGGTTCTTGTATGGCAGTGGTATTTGTCAAAAACCGGACAGGCTGTTCAGGGGAATATCAGCCTACACAACTGAGTGTAATTATGCTACACAAACCACTTATACTGAACGAGTTCTGCGGAATAACAGACGAAAGGTTCCTTCCCATACGATTGTCTAAAGACACGTGGCATTGGCTAATTCAGTGCGCCATTGCCCATTGATTCAGGTTTGTTTAATATGCGTTGTGTTTCGGGAGTCTGGTTTATTCTCGTCTGGTTATTATTGTACTGTGGTTTTATATTTTTTTTAGCAATTAGTGGTATCGATAGGTGTCGAAATTAAACCTAGTACAAACAAAATCTAGACATATAGTTCTGAGTAATGAAAACCATTCAGTCACCTGGGGACAGGAATACGACTAACTCTAGAATAGTCCAGTATATTAAACACGCCTAATAACTCCCTTGAACAGAGTCCCTCTTGAGAAGCTGATAGTATCTTCAGATAGTCAAGAAATACCAAGTTCCTTATGGAACCAGAAGGTTCATTACTCTGATCAAGAGAGCCCAATCACTAGCTAGATGAATCCAATCCACACCGCAAACTTCATTTCCGTTAGAACCGTTTTAATATTATCATCCCATCCACGCCTAGTGATTTCATCTCGCCATGCTTTCCAAACGAAATTTTTGTACTCATTTCTCATCTTTTACATCTAATCCTTGATTGGATCAAAATAATATTTGGCAACTGTACACATTTTTAATCTCCTCGCTTTGCAATTACTATCTCATTACTCATTACATTATTTTATTAGGTGTAGAGATACTGGTAGCGATTGTAGTAAGTGAACTAAGATTCTGCATTGCCTTATTTGTTACTTCGTGTTCGTCGAACCTGCGGTTAGCCACACTAGTGTTGACTATGTGGGCTGTCGAGCTACCAAAGCCGTCCTACAGTTATTAATGACGGGACGTGGGCTACGCAGTTTTGCTTGTTAGCTCAGAATTCAAGTTGTTTTCGTTGTAAAAACGACAAAACAAATTTGTCAGAGATCACAAAGATAATCCTTTTTCTTTCTAACTTGTTTATCTTACCCAGAATTTGTTTTTATAAAAATAGTTGTGTCGCTTTCAACTAACATCATATAGTCAGTACTTCTGTTTTATACCCGAGAGGCTCCGGGTTCGATTTTAAATCCGGAGGTTAGCTATCCTACATTTCCGTGTTTTCCTCAGTTTTTTAGGTAAACTCTCGGCTAGTGCTACGAAGGCTTCTTTTGACAGCTTTAATCAAAGTGTAAGCGAAAAAGTAGTCTTGTCTGACTATCCTTTGTATGTTTCGTCTCGGAAATTACTTAACAGATTTCTATTAAATCTGGTAATGGTATCTGCACTAAATTTTGTTGAGAGAATTTAAATGAAATAACACCGCACACAAGGAGCTTAACTACAAATTCATAGGCTTTCTCAAAAATTGGTACGCGACATAAAACACGTGAAACGTAAAATGAACTAACATAATACAATTCAATTTATTCAATTCAATTCATTTATTAGAGTGCTTGGCAACAGCCAAAAGAGGCCAATAACAGCCAAGCACTAACAATTAACATAACAATACAAAAACAAACAAACAATGGAATAAATATGTAAATGGATAATATAATATTGATAATATATCAATTCATTAATTTATTACAAAATAATTAACAGTGAATGAGCTAAATAATATGTCTAAAAGTGAAACATTAAAATACAAAAAAACAAACAAATAAACTAATTATATAAATATACAAATAATTTAACTCATTTATTGCTAATAATCAACAAGCAAATGAGCTGAATAATATAACTAAGTATATAATAATCTATCTATCTATTATTATTATTAATAATAATAATAATAAATTTGTATCCATATAGGGAATATTTAACGAAACGGAAAGAAAACTCAGCTTTATGTTGTTTGGTATTGTAGTGTGAATAAACTTGCAACACTGGATTTCTGTTTGTAATAAATGAACATTAAAGCTAACGAGATATGGAGAATCGCAAAGGACGAATGCAGAAATTATATGTATATATATACTCACTATAAATATACTTTGTTCGCTCTGTTCTGGTCTCTAGACAACGTGTGTTATTTATGTCAGCAAGGAAGTAAGACATCTTTGTTTAAAGTAAACTTCGCAGAACAGATCCTGATTCCTACTTAGCATTTAAATATTATCCTCCCATATGTGGCTGCATAAGGAAAATTGGGCACATCTGAACCACGCCTCTTTCTTAGTACATGTTACTTCTTGGTAATGATGGAGGCTAAAAGTATAAAAACAATTTGTTATATACGCGCAGTCTCAGTGTTTATGTAACCTTTTTTAACGATTGATATTAAAAGTCTCGGGCCACGCATTTCTAATTCCCATTAACTCATTACACTGAA